TCGAGCGTTAATTCAGGGTAGTGCGTCAGGAATGGGAACGAGCCTGCACAGTCAGATGTGACGTGAGCATCCAAGAAGAAGTGCTGGAGAACTCATCAGATGCGTACCGAGGAGTGGGAGGCCCATTGGGCCATCGGGGATAGCATTCCCGTCCTTGTCGCGTGGTCGACGTCCGAATGGGTCGATCTTGGTGAAGAATGGGAGCAGATAGAGGCTAGCGAGCAGCAATGCTGCTACAGCGGTCAGCCCGGGGCTTAGTACATGTTTGAAGTCGGCCCCGGTGAGTTCTGGGGACATGCTGAGGCTAGGAACCACGACAGAGGGAGATGGGTGGGCGGACATCGTGTATATGTAGGCAGGGGCGATGGTGGTGGTGGAGGCGACGATGTAGCTAAGAGTTGACTGGTCTAAAGTTTGGAGGAGATGACTGACTGCTGCCGGTCTGGCTGGACTCGCTGCAACGAGCCAGGTTATATACGCAGCGAAATAGACTCCAGCTCACAAGCATGACATAGCGGACACTGTCTCCTCATCCCGACGCCTATTTCCTCCACGAATTCGTGCTAGAGAGCTCGCAGGCGTCCGCTCACGCACACACCGCCGGCCGACCCTCGTCTCTGCTTCTGCTCTCGCCTCTGCCTGTATGAAACGCTCAGAGGGATTTATTGGCAATGATCGCACTTACTCGAAAGAAGCGTGATCGGACCCCGCAATCTTGGACTGTGAACTTCCCCCGGCAGGTCCTTGGCGCACAACCGTATGCCTTCCTCGCGCCAAAACTCCTTCCGGATTTGAAATCGTGTAGCCATGTTTCCCTTCGACAACACTGACGCTGAGACAGCCCCAGCCGTTGCGGTAGGAGAACAACGGGTCACTTGAAGTTGTCAATGGCGAAGTCTGGTTGCGCTTCCATTGTTAGAAAAAATGGTGCACTGCTCGTACTCGGGCGCAGATGTATGCAGCGCAATGGAATCCAATTTTGACCTGGATAACCCCATATGCGCGATTTCACAGACGCCTTCCCTGAGGATCATTTTGTGGTAGTCACGTACCCTGGTCCCGACTACCCACTAGCGCCGGTGTCCAAGTCCGTGCGAGGAAGCTCCATGTACGTCGGATCTACCACGTACATGTTCATAGTCGGCCTGGGCCATAAAATGGGACTGACAGAAACATGAACGGTTCACCGATGCAAAAGGGGAAGGACGCGACATGCTTGTCGCGGAACTGGCGCTTTTCGTTCTCTCCCGAGTAGATTCTGCACTGAGGGTCAATAGTCAACGTTGCTGTACACAGCGATACCCTTCCCTCCATTGTCTATAGTGACTGATATCTAATCTATCCTGTGCGTATAGCCAGAGCCGGCAGACGATGAACAGTTCACCGGCGCCCATTGCGATAATACGGAGCTGAGAACAAATTTACAAGCCCATTGAGTATTTCGGTGCGCGCTGCGGTCAACCTATATAAACATCTACATCAGACAAGAATTATACAATATCTGGTCAAGTACCTGTCCATTTGCCCATCCAGCCCGAAAGTTTCCAACTCATTGAAAGACGTCTGCAAAATTACACGATAGAACACCCTGCTACCCAATACAGTCCCGTGGTCGATACCCGAACGAGTCGATCATATCATGAAGAACGGAAGCAGATACAGGCTCACGAGCAACCGTGTAGCGACAGTTGTCGGCCTGAAGCTCAGCGCACGGCTGAATTCAGCGTGTGATATGTTGTGTCACGCACAGAGGACGCTGGTTAAAGGCTGATTGGAAATGTTGACTGACTGATCATCATTCCATGATACTGCTGATAAATTTTATAGAACGCCTCTAGACCTATTACCCAGGTGGTCTCGTTTCAACTGAGGCACACATACCCTAGACCATTCTGCGTGATCAGGTATGTATGCCACTCAGAACTGGGACTGTTTGGCGGATGACCGCGTTGTGTTGCTATGCGTGGTGTGCTCCGACGACTGATTCGTCCAGATTCCGTGACCATCAGCAGAAAATGTCAGATCATATTTACAGACTGCATAAAGACATATCACCAGACTGGCATGCGGCTTCTCACGCAGGCCTCTATGTCAAAGTGGAGTGGACAGCTACATAACGCCAGAGCATTGAATGACCTCGCAAGTCGTAGTACTTGCCCCTCCGAGCCGGCGATACCTGCGCCAATTGTGTGCGCATATATCGCAACAGACGCCGGAACCCGCTGGAAAGAGTACCTGCAGGCATTGTTGGGCACGAATCTCTAGACTGGTGTGTGCACCTGTAAGGCGGAAAGGAACTCCCAGCGTAACCCTCCCAAAAGCCGCTTCTGACGGGCAAGTCCGCGCACAACTGTGCAAGATTCAGTTAGGCAGTGTCGTTTAACTCGAATATGTCGCATAAGATCAACCGTAGATCAGGAAGAATGACAAGGAGCTCCAGATTCATTTTGGAGAGCCACAATTTAACGTCAACTTCAACTTTAATGAGAGGCAGACGTCGCGCGACAGGCGCAGGCGTGCAATAATAGTAACTTATAGCATTCTCAATCATTTACAGTACTAATACTTACTTATATCAACCGCGAGCTCAGCGCTTACATATACCCAGGGTGCGTCCAGCCCGATCAGGTTCAAATTGGTCCAAATTGGGTCCAGTGCGCTCACTCAGCTCCACTGTCTCCCTTCTGTACCACATTCCATTCTTATGCTGGCTAGATTTAAATCTAAGCCTCTGTCCCGCCGAAACAGCATCCCCGACGACTCCTACGTTGAAAAGAGCGACCTAAGCGAGACCTGCCAAAACGGGAACACGGCGCGGGGTCTCCCGGGTGGCGATCACCCCCCGAGTTCGAGGGAGCGGACGGAACGGCGCACTCGAGTACTTAGCGCGACAACGCCACGGTGGCTAAATGTCCCGAGCATAGTACTCACCCGTGTGTGAGAGTGCATTGCGTTTCTGGTATGTAGCTTGTCTGTTTTGCTACGTCCCGAGTCGAGTTCAATTGTCATGTTGAGTCGTCGATGACAGACCTCACACAGGAAGCATTCCTCGGATCTTGGGCCTGCTTGCTTACGTCTTAGCCCTCAAAGAAGTTCCTAGGAGTTGTGAAGTTTTCCGCGGACGTCCTGACAACTTTGTGTTCTGTTGAGCATTCTACATCATCACCATCCGCGGGTGGAGGCTTGATAGCTGATACAACCGCCTGTGCAATTGCCAGAGTATCCGTGCGAAGGTGGGATAATACATAGATCATTTCGTCTACGATCGAGCCAGCACCATAGAGGTCTGCCATGCTGAAATATATGGACGTATGCATCTTTTGCGGTTCTGTAGTACAATAGTAAAATGCACAATTGCTCTGACAGATCCGACAAAGAACCCGTTCTCTCTTACTTGAAGTATTTCCTAGTCGAGGCCCTGAGGTTCCTTGTTACTTTTCTGACCCGAGGAAAAAGATAATTTCTTGGTGTGGAAAGCTCAGGCTGCGCGCGCTGCATTAATTTGATTCCACACACCTAAGCCGAGACGATGGGCGAGTCGCACGTCGACTGGCCGCAAATTGCGCCCCCTGAGCGTCTGAACGCTGGCAATGTATCGTTCGTTGAATGGGCCCCGGTGTGTCGGGCCGTGCAGCACAGTTTTGCGGTACTGAGGCCGAGCGGTCCATTCCACACTGTCATTGAACACAATACAGTCGCATTATGCAACGTTCCGTCCTGCTCGCTGCCATTCATTTTCATCACCAGCCTAGGCTCTGAGCGCTAAGCGCGTCACCAGAGATGCATGGCATAGGATGATCAGAGGCTGCAGAAGTGGCCACCGGCGGATGGCGTCGTCCGACCGTTACGAGATGTTGTCATCGAGCTCGAGAGCGAGTCATTCACTTGGCGTGAATAATGCATGATTGGCCAATAATTTAAGCTACCTCCTTAGCACCTCAATCGCCAGTTCGACTCGGAGTGACAACGAACACGAATCGAACGCGTGGCTAGGAACGTGCGGGGGAGCGGTAGCAGCAGGGGGACAGAGCGCTAGCGTCTGTTGATCGGGTCTGCACAGTCCGATTGTGGAGGCCACTGGGCATACAGTACGGCGCGACGGAGCGAGAAGAAGGTACGTGACCCGCTGCAGACGGGCTCGGATGTGACGTCAACGGGGGGAGAGAACCGGAACGGCGATCAGTGATTTCATTATGATCATCTCCTGCGTAAACGGAACTCATCGCAGCATTGTTGTTTCGTATACCACTGCCTCCAGCATTGGAGTAGAATTATAGACAAAGATCAGCTATTAGGTAGTCACTCTCGAAGCAGTACTGGCCACTGGCCCGAGCGCGGCGATTCAATGAGAGTAGGGAGATCTCTCGATCAGGCAAATTACGTAAGCATGCCTGGGCGTCTTTCGAACGCGAGCTTAGGCGAGGCTCGGCGACGTCCCGACGACAGGAAGTGCAGAGCGGGCCATCCTCGTTCTTGTTTGTTTATTGCTCGTCCACACTATGTCTGCCGCCCCGTACAAATACCCCCCGCTCTCGTCCCTTTCTCTTCATCGGCCTCCAGCTGTTCCATTCCCTCCTCCTCCTCGCATCCTCCAATTCCTTTCTCCCTCCAGCAGCTCCGAGCCGCATCCCGAGCCACACCGTGACCACCATGTCCGCACCCACTCACCGCCTCGCCCGCTACCCGACATGGCTCACACACTGGCTTGGCTACCGAGCCACACCCCATCACAAAGTTCCTGAGCCCTTCGTCTGGATCTGGTCCTGGTTCGGCGCGTTCGCTGGTCTGGCTGTACTCCAGGGCCTCTTTGGCCACTCCAAGTACTTCATCGACCGCAAGGTCCCACCATTGGTTGCCTCTTATGTAGGTCCTCTCTGCTATCTTTCTTCCATGCACGCAGCTCACTCGCAAGCATATAGGGCGCGTCGTGTGTCCTCGTCTTTGGTGCCATCGAGGCTCCGCTCGCTCAGCCCCGCGCATTCGTCGGCGGGCACTTCATCTCGGGCCTCATTGGGCTCTGCATCACCAAGCTCTTCTCCCTATCCCCACACTTCGAGTCCCTCCGCTGGCTCGCAGCGTCCATCAGCACTGCCACCGCTATCGTAGCCATGCAGATCACAGGGACGACTCATCCGCCAGCAGGCTCGACCGCTCTTTTGCCCGCGATCGACGACACGGTGTGGGCGATGAGTTGGTACTACCTTCCGGTCATCCTGCTGTCGTGCGCGATCTTCCTGTTCATCGCATGCATTGTGAACAACATCCAACGGCGGTACCCGATGTACTGGTTCAAGCCGGCAGTGTCCATCCCAGCAAAGCCGGAGCCTGCGCTTGGTGCTCCAGATGACGATGCGACCAGTGAGGCAAGCACCTGCGCACCGACGATTGTGGCGGGGATCCCAACAGAGAAGAGGGGTGCAGATGCAGTGTAAACTATCGTGTTCTGGTGTTCTGGCCAGTTTGGCCATTCCGCATACTGTCCTCCCCTCATACACTATATCGATCACTCATGACATTACGATCATCCATCCTTGTCGACTTTCTGTCCATATACCTTTTTGGAACCGTTTTCTCGATCCCCACACACCCTCGACCCCTACAGCCATCCTCATCTTTGTCCCTTTACCTTCAAACCGCATTCGCGCATTTGCGCATACGTATACATCCCATATCTGTATAAATCACGACAGCTCGTCCCTGTATACTAATATAGTCTCAGACGGGACGAGGCATAGTAATAATCTTTTCCGATCCAGATGAAGAGTTCCGAGCCTGCGCAGTGCGAGTATTAGAAGATGTGTTTTGGACGCCAGATGGTGTTCGAGGAACTTGAAGTATTTAGTGTAATGAATTCTCGTCCACGCACATGCATATATACTGGTTTGTGTATGCGGAGGGCCCCGGGGTGCATAGTGCTCTCCCTCAGGTTGTCCTCCGAGACATATCGACGTATCCATTTTGGTGGTCCTGAGTCATGTGTCCCCACAGATGAACATCCAGGACAATCATGACATGGAACTATGTGTATCCCACTGGAATATAAACAAGAGAAATTGTTACTGTGTTAAAATCAGAGTCGTGGTACAAGTTCTCAAAAGCCCGCGTTTCTGCAGCTAACGAGGCTTTTGATACACGAAGCGCTGGTCAGTGTTTGTTCACCTCGTCCAGCTCCTTCAGCACAGCCCTAATCAAACCCGTCTGAGGTCAAGCATCCTGCAGCGGACGCACAGCTCGGCTGTCATCAGATGCGTTTTGTTATGGTGCATGGGCACCATTATGCTCGTCGAAGTCTCCGACGTCGGGCCCACAGCAAATAGACGATTAGGCCACGAGCTCGCCTTTGCATCTCCCCAAGGCTACTCGAGCCTCGAGTCACAGGTGCATGGTACTTCTCAGTCTTTGCCTCATAGGCAGCCCATAGTAAACAACCAGCGGAAGGAAAGCAATCGCTAGACAGCGCGCCAGCAACCCCAACTGACGTTCTCCGGGTGGGTGTAACTACTATGGAGCACCATATACGCGCACCTCGGGACCACAGCATCACAAAGTTTTGCGAGATCGTTGATCGTTTGCACACAGACTTGCAGGACCGCGGACCAGGGTAAAAAAAGAATTGGAAGGCCAAGGCGGCAGGAGGAACATCAGAACGGACTCATAGGCGGTTATATGCGGGATGTTCTGCACGCTGACGGTGGCAGAATGTGATTTGCCTTTCCGTCAGGTATGGGCACACCTAATTCGTGTAGGTGGGGCCGAGATGAAATGGACTAAATGCACGCGAAATTCATCACAGAGGTGCTCTCCTGTGAATTGTATTCCCGGCCGCCCCTCTTGCGATGGAAGGAGTAAGTGGAACCAATGGACAATGATAGAGCTCTTGCGTCCTTGCAGTTGTCGTCTCACATTTAGCAAGACAACATCTCTTTAGCGCGACTCTTCATGATGTAGATCCGACGTCGACATAGTCCCTTCGCGTGAACGCGTGGACGCTGGTAAGCTAGCACGTGGGACCAGAGTGGGTAAGTACATACTCAAAATGCTAATACCTAGAATATGCTAAAAAGGGTTGTCTGGCGTCTTATAGACCACGCTTGGGTGAACATGCAGGAGCCCCGTCCGCGCCAGCATTCGAGGACTCCGTGACTGAGTCTGCTGCATATTATCCTTAATTGATTTGATCCGGTGTGCTTCGTGTCGAGGAGGACTCATTGTTCTTCCTCGAAAGGTAATGTAGCCTGGCCGGATGACGTCTAATGTAGCAGGAAATCTAACACTGCGAAGTCTTTGGCGGGTGTATGGCCGTGCCTCTCTGGGGTAAATCATAATTGCAGCGTCCGATCACGCTTCTTTCGCGCCTATTGCAGCCCACGGCCTAGAACACACGGTGATGCGCACAAGGTAGTCTTGCGTCCGTGACTGGATGCTGACGAGGACACTGGTATGTCGTCGTCCGAAGAAATTCGCTTCGGCCTGTTGTCCAACGGGATGCCCGCTGTGTTCGACTGGCGGTGGACGCGGTATCCCTCGAGGTATATAAGCTAGTCGTTGCAACATGTCCAAGCAGACCGGCATAAGTCAGTCGCCTTTCTTTCTTCAAGTCAAACAACTTTCTTCTACACCACCACCCCTACGCATAACCTATCCTCATACTACTTCAAACACACAAGATGTCTGTCTACCCATCTCCCTCTGCTGCGATTCCTAGCCTCAGCGTGTCCTCTGAGCTCACCGGGGCCGACTTCAAACATGTACTAAGCCCTGGGCTGACCGCTGTAGCAGCATTGCTGCTCGCTAGCCTCTATCTGCTCCCATT